TCCTTGTACTAGGAGTAAGGGACTGAAAAAGTCTAAAGGATTCACATAAGTCGTTTTTTGCAATATGTACAAAAAGGGGGAAAGGAAGTGGACAGAAAGGAAATTTACATGTCATTTGGGTCAAAATACATGAAAAAATTAGAAAAAACTCACATAGTTGCTAAAAGATAATCCCCAGCAGTGTTTCTTCTAGCAGTTGACAAGTTCTTGGTTCATTATGCAATCATGTATTTTAAAATGAAAGATGGGACCAAAAGCACTTTTGTGGATTTGACCTTGAACTGAGACAGATTGCCATTTGGGTTAACACCCAACAATATCCAATCTTCACTTGATGCATTTGCCATTTTCTTGGTGTTATTAACAATTCTTTTAAAATAAATTACATTTTTTAAAATGATCAAAATTCAAAACTGTGGGATTGGTTTAAGTACACTTTTGTTTTTTTCCTCAACAAGACACTTATGCCAAAGCAGATAGATACGAGTATATATCTTAATCAGTGAATAAAGGAGAAACAACTAATTTGAATCCTATGCATTAGTGTCTTCAAAAGAGTTATTTCTTGGCTTATATAGGTTAGTGAATAACTTTTTGTATTCTGCTTATGTTAATATTTGGTTTTGCTCCAAAGCCCATTTAACTGCAATAGTCTTTGTTCAGGTTCATCAAACAAGTTGGTTGTTTAGATCTTGCTTTTGGTCCAAGACAGGTAATTTTAATATCAGCTTGGAAGTTTAAAAAATAATTATTCACTGACAGGGAGAATTTAACCCAGACATATTCTGCTGTTAATTGACTATCAATAGACATAAAATCAATGACCATTATGTTCATCTGTGAGTTACATACCCAAGTAAAATGTTGAAATTCACTTGAATTTTAGGCAACTGATGGTAATAATAATGATAACTTATCAATGGCATACTGGTTTTTAGGCCTGATACTAAGTATTTCACATGTATTAGCTAATTCACTTCTCACATTTTGTTTTTTTCAACTGGAAACACATTTTATTTTGAACAATTTGAGGCTTAGAATAATTTTGCTCAAGGTCACACTTGTGGCATATCCAGGATAGGAATTCCAACTCCGGCAGTTGGATTGAAATGTATTTTATAAACTACCATACTATCCTGTTTTCTTGATATAATCAATTTCAGTGTCTTTGTTTTTCAGATTAGGAAACTGAGACCCAAATGATGGAATTGACTGAGATTAACAACTAGTTTCGTAAATTAAATGGAGTTTATCAGCACTAGAAACCCAGACTCCTGACTCTATGTTCAGTGTACTTTTCATTACAATAACTTCCTTCTCAGAGAACAAACTGTTGGTCCACACGAGCCAGTTATTTTCAGAATATTTAAGTGTATAAAAGGACCCCTTACTGATTACTCAGTACCAACACAATTTTAAAGCAATATTGAAAAAGCAGAGAATGACAGATACCATTTTCCCAAGAATTTAGGATTAAATTAAATGGAATGAGGTTCCTTTTTTCTACTGACCTATACTATATTTAGCTTAATTTCTATTTCCTTTTCTGATACTCTTCTAAAAGAGGCATTAGAACCATTGTATTAAACAAAACATAACTTTTTTATTTTCAAATATGTTACTTGAAATTAAAATTATTTATATATGTTATTTACTTATATTATGCTATGCAAAATTCAAATCCTCTAATTTTTCTTCTTAATAAAATTGGCCTTTAGGTGGTATCATGATAAGGAACTTTCTGATAAAGAAATGTTTATGAGTCAGTCTTTCATTTGATTTTGATTTATATGCTCTATAAGTAAGTGCTCAATGGACTGGTCAAGAGAAGAATATATTTGTGGTTTGTTAAAACATTTTATCTCCATGGAAAAAAAATAGGTATGTATCAAGAAGTATCTGAGACCATGCAGATTTCCTTCTTGCCCGTTCATCATTCTGTAAATGTGCTGTGTGTATATACTTAGGATGAAATTACCATTAGTTACTAATACTTATCAGAATTGGTAAAAATAAGAAAGGGAAAAGATGTTAATCATGCTAAAGCTACAAAGGAATTTATTAGTTGTTATTTCTTTCAAAGGATTTTGAAAGCTGTTCATTAAATACAGTATTTTAAGACCAACTTAAAAGTCAAGCATAAGTTCATTTTAATTGAATTAAATCATTGCTTTGGGTGGCCCCATAAATTAAAGATAACTATTTCTAAGGTCAATGCTCAAGCCTTTGGAATGTTTGTGCTTATATATTTCTTTATTATTTGTGTTTGTATTCTTGTGTTTGCTCTTATGGCTTTTAGTGTGTGCCAATAATCTGTTTACTTTGGTAGACAAATAGTGTTCTCACAGTTTGAATGTGTAAGTCATGAAAACATAGTTTGGGGGGTGTTGGTTGTTTTTTGTTTTGCTATGCTGGGTCCCCATTGCCTAAATTAATACCTGGTAATAAAAATTGCTCAGTAAAAATTTATCAAATGAATTCTACTTTATTAAAACCTGAAATCTTTCAGGGTATCTGGTCTTAAAGTCATGTCAATGACTAAGGAGATGGATAAAAGTCAAATTTTAGTACAGGTTCCTATCATCTTTTTAAAATATCAGTTCAACAAACTAAATTTACCTGTGTAAATAAAATAATTTGTGAATGGTATTTAAGCATGTTTGTCTAATGTTTAAAAGATACAAATAGTTTAGAATAGAGATTAAGATGATTTGTCCCTGATTATTTTTGACTATGTACTACAAAGAAAGCCAGATGCTGTGCTAATTACTTACCATGACATTATCTTACTTAATTTTTAGGGCAGTATTTTGAGGAATATCTTCCTAGTTTTTTAATAGGACTATTAAAGATATGAGGTTAAGTAATTTGTTCAGGATAACACAGCTAGCAAGTAGCAGATTCAGGACTTTCTCCAAGCCTTTACTCTGTACTGCCTCATGTATATAAGAAGTAAGCCCACAAGTAATCTAGATCGGATATAGTGAAGTAAGTCTCTAAGGACCAACTTTAGATTTTTTTTAGTCTAACTATTTTTTAATTAGAGATATGTAGATTCTTTGGAATTGTGATTAGAAGCAGATAACAGATTATATCATATAATATTTTTCTCACACATTTAAGAATTGAAGGATTCTGAGTAGGGTGATGATAGTTTCTCATTAGTTTTAGCAGGATTAATTTGGCTGGCAAATAGACTTTAGGGCAGAGGCAGGGAGAAGAAAGGAGGATATTGCAATAATCTAGGCAAGAGATGGTGACTGCTTAGACCAGACAGTAAGTCTTAACCTTCATCCTTGAGCGCTTGGGTTTTTTGTTTTGTTTTGTTAAGATTTATTTATTTTAGAGGGAGAGAGTGTGAGCCAGGGGAAGGGCAGAGGGAGAGAGAGAGAGAGAGAGAGAGAGAGAGAGAAAGAAACAGACTCCCCGCTGAGCATTGAGCTGGCTCAGTCACACAACCCTGAGATCATGACCTGAGCTGAAATCAAGAGTTGGACACTTAACTGAGTCACCCAGGCGCCCCCCGTGGGCACTTTTGCCAGTGCTTCCTTGGAAGTGGTTACGACTGGTTGAATTTGGAATGGATTTTTAAAGTAGAGTCAGTGGCATTTTCTGAATGATTAGAGATAGATGAAGAGAGGAGGGAGGATGAAGAATAGACTAAGATGATTCCAAGGTTTTGGTTTAAACAACTGGAAAAATTATGTTGCCAGTTCTGGGATAGATTCAAAACTTTGGTTTGGACCACTTTAAGTTTTAGACTTTCAAGTGGCGTATGTTAGTGAGAACTATTAGACTACCAAGTCTTTTTTAGTCAGTTTGCTTGAAGCTGGGCTTAAAGAACTTACCTAAACATATCTTTGGATAAAGCAGCAGCCGTATGAATTACTGATGTTAGAGATAGAAACAAAGACCGTTTAGGTCAGAGTAGAAAAAACAGCCTTTAATCAAAATACCAAGACACAATTTATGAAAAAACATAGAAGACTTTATATACTTCAAAAAGATCACAGAAATCCTCTAGTTCAGCTCCCGATTTTATAGATGAACGGATATTGAGTTTCTGAGAAATTTGGTGACATGTCCAATATTAAGGCCAAGAAGGAATAATTTTCTGATTCCTAGTTACCCTTCATAAGAGCATACTTCAGGTATGTTTTCATCCGTATTTATTGTCAAAAGTAAAAACAACCTCTCTAATGATAATTATGCTTCAAATGTGACAATTTGAGGACATTGATTTATACCATAGATGTTATTTTTTTCTCCAAACTTTTTTTTTTTGATAATCAGATAACCTAGAAAAGGATTTGTATTTAAAGCAACTGCATAGCAATTAATTTTCATAAGAAGTTAACAGCAGAAATAATGGGAGTCAGTTTTTTAAGCAGTAAAATATCCTAGATTGAGATTTGTGTCATATTTTCTGTAATTGATTGGCATCAATTATTAATAGTTCTTACTAGGTATGGAAAACTGTACATTTCTTAGTGTGGTAAAACAATTTTTTTAAAAAAAAAGCCAATTTAAATGCTCTAATGGAATGAATAAATTTATAAAGGTATCTTATTTTAAAACTCTGATAATGTGGAAAAGAGCAATTTAATATTTGATAGGTCATTTTTTTCCTTAAAGATAAACATAGTTGCTCTAATTTGTGTCTTACATCTTATAGTAACTGTGGAATAATCATTACATTGTATGCTTGTGTTTGTGGTAAACCTTTTAACAAGTTATATTAAATTTACTTTTGATATTAAGTTGCTTTCTACAAATTACAGTAATATCAACCAACATATTCATCTGTTATTTCTAGTTAATTATTTTATTCAAAAGAATTATAAATAGGAGTTCAGATTTTTCTATTATTTCCCCTCATGGTATAAAATTAAAAATGCCAAAAACAAAGAAAAAAAAAGGAAAAGGAAAAATAAAACTTACAAAAAGATCATCTGTTTTTCTGTAGATTGTAATTTTTGCTTCTCTGTCTTGTTTTATAGAGCTACATTCACGGAAGCAGCCAAGCTCAGTTCGTGGCAGAGTCACACATTATTCTGGTACTAAGTATCCTTAAAAATACTGACGGATTGAAAAGGACAAAAGCTGCATGCTATCAAATTGACTTTTTTTCATGACAATAATTATCAAGATTTTAAAAGGTATTAAATTTTAAATGTTACTATGTCACTTTCTAGTTCCTATGCTAATTATTTCTTATTTAATTTTGTTTTTATTCTGAGTCATTAACAGCCTATAATTTTCTCTTTTTTTTTTTTACTGACTGTTGAATTGCAAAGTATAGCTTTTGCTCTGCATTGGTTATCTTTGGCTAACGTCTTTTCGTGGAGTTTTGTGTGGTTTTACCCTATAGGATGCTAACAGGGAGAAAAAAATGTCCTAAAATATAAAAAGCAGAATTTTAAAATACTAGCTTACTACTGGTTCCCTGAAACAGTATGGTAGGTCAGAAGAGGGAGATTTAAGATGGTTAGACATGTCTTTTTGGAACATACCAGACTAAATGTTTTGAATCAGATAATGGAGTACAATTCATGTTTGCTGGTAGAAGGGCAAAGAAGACAGGATAGAATAGGAGAGAGGTAAGGTTAAAGTGTCTGATTAAAGCCAATCTCTGAATACCCTTAGAATGAAATAAAGTTACTCTTTGGGTAAACAACTGTATCTTGGGGGGACACTAATGTTTGTGTGTCTTGGGAAATATTTGAAGGTTAAATTTATAATGTTGAACATATTGAGTCATCATCAGGATTTAAAGTGTGCCTATAGAATTGTTTATAAAATTTGATTACTTTCCTGCTTACTAAGATTCTTATTCAACTGAAGTAATCTAGCCCAAAGTTTCAGTATTGTATATTATCAGAGCTCTTTAAATCTTTAAGGAATCTTAGAACTCATCTAGGTCCAAACCTCATTTTATAGATGGGAAAACTAAAACCCACAAAATTTAATTGACTTGCTTTAAGTTGAAGGAAGAAATAGGATTAGAATTCACTTTTCTTTTTCATGGTCTGTTGGTTAAGTTTTGTATATGTTATTACGGTCTGTGGTACAGGATTTCATGAATAAATGTCAGTCATGCCATTTTGAAGTTTTTACTTTTAATCTGGAAGGAAACGACTATCTTTAATATCATTAAGGTTTTTGTATTTCTCTACCTTATAACAGTGCATTTTTTTAATTCACCACCAAGTATGTATTTTCTACCTTCAGCTTTTTAAGTAATCTATTTTATTTGCATAATATGTTCTGGACAGTGTGTCAGGTGTCTGTGTGTACTGAGTCTTCTGTTAATTGTAGTGGAGGAAAGGGGTAGGAGTGCTTAAAGCACTTTGAATTCTCAAGAAGCTCACAGACTTCCTCATTTATAAAATCAGGATTAGCCAGGTAACCACATGGCACTTCTGTGTGAAGTAAATGAGATAGCACACAAAAACCATCGAGTACTCACTACAGGCTGTTTTGGGTTTTTTTCCCCTTTTATTTTCTCATCAGTTCTACATTTGTATTTCTTCCACCCTTTACACATACTTGTGTGCATATGTGGAATTGTGCATATCTTCAGCCCATTTCTTGCTTGCAATTACCTGTGTGCTTTATTAAGAAGCTACTAGTATGTGTATGTTTTTGCTGTAGTGTGTCTCATAGATTAAAATCAGAAATATCAGTATTTGAATTAACATTCTCAAGTTTTGTGATCTTGATCCGTACGTGCCAGCTTTCTCTTTTCTAACTTTAGTTATTTATTTTTTTTAAGATTTTATTTATTTATTTGAGAGAGAGAGAGAGAGAGAATGAGAGAGAGAGAAGAGAGCACATGAGAAGGGGGAGGGTCAGAGGGAGAAGCAGACTCCCCGCCAAGCAGGGAGCCCGATGCGGGACTCGATCCCGGGACTCCAGGATCATGACCTGAGCCGAAGGCAGTCGCTTAACCAACTGAGCCACCCAGGCGCCCTCTTTTCTAACTTTAATACGGTAAGAGATTCATACTTTATGCACATCAGAGGTGCTTTGAGTGAGAAGATGAAATATTTCCAAATCTCTGTATTGGATCTTCTCCTTCTCCTTATTGGAAAATAAAGGAAGACCATCTTTACCCTTTACTTATCTCTCCATTATATAAATGTACTTATGAAGCAAAATACATTTGTGTTGAAGCATATTGTTAGGAAACAAACTATTTATTGCAGGTAACTTTTTAGCTCTTATTTATATATTGTAGGCTTTTGTTTTCTATCCTATTTCAATCTATGATATGGCATTTTAGCAGGGTACTTTTTTCCAAGCAGCTAGTCTATGAAATACATCCGGAGTACCTAGCAGAAAGCTATGTTGAGACCATCATTGTATGGCAGGAATTCTCCAGGGTTTCATTTCATGGCTCATGGACATCAGGCTGAGATTTAGGATGCAAAGAAATTTCACAGGCAATATGAAGTCTTCCATGTAGATTTTTAACAGTAATAAATAACAGATTTAATAGTACTTATTCTCTTGATGCTACCAATAGTTACTTGTTGCTTTATTCTCCTGGTTTGTTTGTTGTACAGATAACTGAAAAAGAGAAAATGTCTTTTAAAATGGTGGACTCCTTAAAATTGGTGAAAGTTAAAAAGTAGCCAAAGTAATAATTTCTGATTTTACTTTCACTTGGCAGACTCTACTGATATTTTTTAAACTTACCATGTATTTTTTTTTTTTTGTAATTTGCATGTGTATTTTTTCCTTTATACCAGAAAAAAAAAAAAAGTAAATTCCAGATGGTCACTTTTTGTTTATCTGGAGAGAATATGCCTGCTTTTTGCTTTTCTCCTTCTGATTTAGTAAGCCAAATCATTAGATGCAATTGCTGTATGCAAAATTTTGTTGAAAAAAACCTAAGAACAGATGGAGTCATTTGATGTCATAGGTTATAGATTCATATTTACTAAAAATAAGATTTTTGTCCCTATTAGTGGTGTTTTATTTTCTCAGTACCTTGTTTAGGGAAAAAAAAAAAAAAAGAAAGAAAGAAACAGTCCTAAGTAGTTCATTAGAGAAAACTATATAAAGAAGGAGTAAGAAATACCACATTTTAGTCTATGGCCATACCACCCTGAACGCGCCCGATCTCGTCTGATCTCAGAAGCTAAGCAGGGTCAGACCTGGTTAGTACTTGGATGGGAGAAATATCACATTTTAATATGGAATATGTGAACTAAGAATAACTTATATCATCCTTTTATTTTTCCCCAGTAAAAATTTGTTGTTACTTATTTTTCATTCAGTTATGTTTCAATACCTGATGCAAATGTAAGATATTTGCTGTTTACAAGATGGTGGACTGATAGAAAAATAATTATAATTTAGTGTGACAAATGTTATAATGAGTGCTTGGAAGCACAAAAGAAGGAGCAACTCACTGCCTAGAGAACTTGCACTGACTTTTCAGCTGGTTTTGATAACAGTGGAAAAAGGAGTTTCCCAGACAGCGAATGAATGAGAATATTCTAGTAGAAGGTCCGGCAGGTACAAAAACAAAAAATGAGAGAGAATATTCACAAATGCTTAAGAGAAGATTGATGAAAGTTTACTTTGGATGGATAATGAAAATCTTCCCATCTTGCTAAGAAATTTGAACCTTACCTGAATTCACCAAGATGTGGTCTATATGTGCTAGTTGATAGAGGATACATGAGTTCTAGGACTGGCTTTTATTTTTTTTAAAACTTTGATCTGCCCCTTAGTTCTCCACATCCTTCAAATTCTAGGGTCTCAAGATGATGACATGAGATAAACATCTTTTGGAAGTAGAAGTGCTAATATAAAAGACGAAGGATACACTAGCAATAATTTTAAAATATATATATATACTTATATATATACACTTATAAAAATCACATTTGCTTTTTCTCTGAGAAATACATTTGTTCTCCATTTATTATAAATGAATATTATTTTACCTTGCATCTGTTTTCAATCTGTGATAGAGAGCAAATGTTTTAGTATGTTATATCCGAGGAAAAACAAACTACATATAAATTAATGATGGATGCAAACTGAAGATAATTTTAAATTTAGATCTCTAAGTCTTCTATAATATGCCAACATTTTTTTGACTTCTGTTCTCATTTATCTTTAAATTGACATTCCTCATTCTCTTCCTAGAAGTAACAGTAAACTTAACATCATGTACAACTGAGAATAGATCATAATATAGTGCACATGTATTTGTTACTAGTTCAGTAGGATGCTCAGTGCCTCTGGGTACTATATATAATTTATACAAATAGCAGCTTCTGTTTTATGTGAGATTATGTCAATATTTTGACTTTTTAATCAGTAAAAGGTGATTGACAGATTCAGCAGAGAAACTCAGGTGTGCACAGTAGTAAGTATATATTGCTGTGACATTATTCAATACAAATGAGAAAGTAATACATGAAGTAGACTGGGGTGTGTGTGTGTGTGTGTGTATGCATAGGCATTAGCAAACTCCGAACAATAGAAAAAGTCTCATAGTTCATCCACTATATAGTTCCATCTCCTATTCTAATGTTGGGACTCTTCAATAAGACACAGCCGAAATGGCCACACCCACAGTTTAATGGCAGAAAATCAGCTGTTATTCCAGAGTTAAACATCAAAACTCCAAACTCTCAGATTTGTGCTGAGTCAGTCAACCCTCTACTCAGTGAAGGAAGCCCTACATATCAAGTCTGACAGATCATCATCTAGCTTTTACCTGTTTCTAAAAATTAACACTTTACCTAAAAATTATATTACAGATGTGGGTTTTTTTTCCCCCCAAATGATAAGTCTTATGTATGCCCTTTTTTAACCAAAACTTTTTTTCAGTGATATATTGGAACTTAAGTTAAATAAGTAATAATTCTCAGTACTCAAAGGCTTTAATTTAAAAAGTCATCTTTAAATAAAAGAGAGGGGAAATTGGCTAATTTAAAGCCATTTTACTTTAATTCATACAGCTTAATTACAACTATCAAGTTTAAAGTAGGTTCACACTTATTTTTTGGTAAAGCCTAGAAAACTCAAGTTTGCAGGAA